TCCAACGAGTGATTGGTGTGGTCAATAATTTTGGGGAATTATTTACCGCTACAGCAGTATACTCGTAGCCTCAGAGTATCCTTCGTTAAGGGGCATGAACTTACAGCACTGTATAGCACTTGCAGCAACACCACTGCAGTACTTCAACGAATACATTAACTTCACTTCGTCATTTATCGCAAAGCCACTCAACATGATTTCAAACTCCTTTACAAACTGTGGAGAGTTACCTGGGTTTCCGTCGAAAAACCGAGGCTCAAATTTAGAAATTTTAAAATTTCTATTAACCCTAGACGGCGAAATATGGACACCAATCTTATCATGTATAGCACCACACACATCATTACATATAACAGGCAACACATCATTACTTACTTCCCTGTCTGCTTCCAAAACGCTTTGTCCTTTCTTTGACCCAGGCATTATTGAACTTGACCAAAAGATCCAGGAAAGTTCCAAATAACACTTGTCCAAAGAAGACTTGCAGACGCGAGGAAAGGCGAAGTGACAACATATAAGACGAATAGTTCCAGAAGAATCACCAGAAACTGTCAATGTCCAGGTCTTACCACACTGGACTTCACACTGTGCTTGGAAGACTTTCAGGAACTATGCTCAATAACCAACGCAAAAATCCAGAACACAAACTAGTGACTCAAGAACCGTTTATTCTTGCACCAATACAGAGCCAACCATTAGGTTAGTGTACACAAAGTCTAAGAATAAATGTCGTAACACTAAATCACAATAATAGTTCTGATAGTTTTCCTCTCTTCCAACGAACAGCGGATAATGAAACGATGACTGCAGTATTGATGACTCCCGCGAAAAATATGGAAGAGTTGCGTTTGAGCAAACAACCATGAATTGATCGTTCAATCTTCAACTACTTTGACACCGTTGCTTTTTCAGATTCATGGGTGCTTCAGAGCAGGGAATAGGTCACGAAATGTCATGACACACAGTTATCTAGATGAATATATGTACAGAGATATGTTTGGACTCTCACTAAAGACTCCTATAAAGAATTAGGAGGTTATCACGGCACACATGAGAGAAAGTTAGTCCATACAACTACTTTTAGCACTGAATTTCATATCTTTGAAATTTTTTTCTAAATTGCGCGCATTTACAATGGGTCATCTGAGTGATTGATCAAAATCACTACGTCTGTTTACTTGAGTTTAGTTTCGAATGTCTTTCAAATGATTCATTTTCAAAATGAATTCCAATATCAGTAAATGAATAATTATTCTTGATATCACCTATGAAACGACCTCTGGCAGACGATGAGCTATACGAAGCTAATGCGTAAACGGAAATCACTGTGATAACTAATTAGAGCGTTAACCACAACCAATACAAAAATACTTCCAACATGCGGAAAGAAGACAGTTCTCACTGTCTCTAAGAACAGTCGAAAGATTTCATGTCAGTGCTGTATATATAATGGTTCCGACTGAACATTCAAATTACCGATGAGTTTGAATTTCTAGCAGCCAATGCAATTTCAACCACGACGAGGAGTGCGAAATACAGAACGCACAATACAACTGATCAAAGAATAGAATTTCGGCATTGTGGTACAGTATAATTCCAGAGCAGAAAACAATTCTATTTACTATAACATACTGTGAAACAGTATAATGTATTTACTGATGACCTTAGGAGTATAATTCACAGTTCGCATTCATAGCAAGGTTCTCACATAACTCACATAACAATACTATTAAGACTGACGACTTCAGTTCTCATATACCTTATCTAAAGTAACTCTCAACAAACTTTCAACAATTTTTATGATTTACATAAGTGAATTGAAATATTCCTATTAACAGTACCGACACAGAATGACAGGAATCGTCCATGGAATACATAGTTTTGCATTCAGAGAAACAGTAATATGTAGACAGGAAATACAGATATCAGTAGCACGTGAAAGGAAATTAATCCAACAGTGTTCTTTTATTATGAAAATCCTTTAGTGCATATATGTAAAATACTTCAACAAAATAATTATTAGTTCCTATCTCAGAAGGATAGGTATACTAAGTTTTGAAAAAACATACACTACTGACAATTTATCAGTAGCCTACGGAGTATTTAGAAAATACTATGGGTTTGCGCTTTGTCATCTTTTTTTTCTAATTATTTCCTGCTCCAAAAATATCTCCTTTTTCCCACCTTCTTTCAGGAATACCCCTGTTTTATCCATGTTATTGTAGACTTGGAAATCCTTTGGCTTTATTTGTAGTAATATTTTTCAAACCTCTGGTATTTGTATTGCCTCGTCCCTATTGCAATTGTTTGGGGGTAGATTCTACGAGCAAAGACTGAGTGCCATAATGTTTCTGAAACGTGTAATGTATCTTCTCAACACATTTAGGACATTCTGACTATATATATGCTTGTAATGCATATCTGCACAAAAGGTAACAGCATAAAGAACCGAAAATTGGATTATCAAAGCAAGTTTCAAGGTCAAGGTTCATTTTACTTAATATTTCCATCCCTTCCCTTATTTTTTTATTACTTCATTAACCTACCTAATATCTGTGATTGTGACCCATAGAGATTTGGACCTATAATTATAAGATTTTGATTCCTTATTCCCGTCACTTTTTATATATATGTATCGCAAGCATGTGTGTGATCAAAATGTCCGAAAGCTATTGCGCAAATACATTACGCATTTCAAATAAAATTCTTCCTCTTATTGTTTTATCAAAATCCACAAATATATTTATTCGCTTCAGAGAATCAGTGATCGACTTCTCCCTTCACCTAACTATGTTACCTTGTAGGACTTTAATTCTACTCTACCAAACTGTGTAATTCTGTGTTAATGTGTAATAGTAATAATAACAGCTTTGTTCTGAACAGTGTTTATATAATGCACAAAATTTTCAGCGGAAATTATTGCACAATAGTTTCTCTTTGTCCAGAAAACTTAAGTAGAACAGTAACTGACAGTAAATCGCGTGACACAGTGATGTTCGAAATGACCCGAAAACCAATCCTTTATGACATTTCTTCCTTAGAGAAGTGCACTACATTTGGTTGGAAGCCAATTAAAAAAGGTGCGGGAGTACAGTTTTTGATCCAGGGACATAATAATAGCCGAGTAATTGAGGGCTACAGGTGATGAGCCTTATTTCCAAAACAGTGACAGTCTTTACCAAAAATTCCAGGAACAGTTACTTAATGCAATGGCATTGGCTGACACACAAGATTTTGCTTTTTCTCAGATCCAGTAAAATACTAGCGGGAGTAAAAAACATCATTAGAGGTCAAATTTTCAATAGATTAGAACAAACTGAACAAGAGAAATCATATGCAAATAGGCCACCTATTGCAATCGCTGAACGTCTCTCCAAGTTGATCACTTCTTAGGGTCAGTCATTCAATGGTGAGTTGAATCCCTATCCCGGAATAACCTAACTAACACCTGTCTACTGGAAAGACCGATGTAATTTCCCTCACATTCATTGCAAGGTATATTCTTATATACCACTGAACACTGAATCTTAAATATAAGGTCAAAATATACGAATGATTATAAATGAAGTATTCATAACCTAAGTATTTAAATACTACTGACTGATTGACAAGAGTAGTTTGACACTACTCACATCAACCTATAGTGCTTGCTGGTTGATGTCACTCGTGTCAATCAGTCAGTAGAATATAGCATCATATGTCTATGCTTGCTTTGTTGATTGCCACTTATGGTTTCAGACAGATTACTCACACACATATTGTGATCTGAGTAGTAATTCTGGGTTCCATAGGAAATTGTGGTGAAATCTCACCTCCTTGAATTGTGTACATTGCAGATCACGAATTCGATTATTAAAACCTTCATTTTTTTGTTTTACTAATGTTTACTTAGTGTTTCTTGCAATTTTGGTTATTTCTACGATGGCCTCAGTATCATTTGCAATAGTTTCGTAGTTAGTTATGCTTGTTAAATGCTTTTGCACAACGAAAATACTTCACGAGTGTGTCTGTAGGGATTTGATTTGTTTTTCAAGTCTGATCACGGGCAGATATCAGTCAGAGAACCACTAAAAACCTAGGAGTAATGAACAACTGTTTTGCCTTATCCTGGGACCCATCGACACCATGCGCCCACTGTGTTTCAAACCCATGACCTTCCGGTTACAAGGCAAGCTCGTAGGCAATTCAGTCACTGGGATCCGTCTCAATGGCTCATAAATTCCAGCTTCTACAATTTCATGATTTTACCGTGGCTGGCACCAGCTGATATCATCAGCTGGTACTTGCGCGTGCATACTACCGACGAGTCCCAAACTGGGACGAAGCCGCTGTTCAAAAATCTTCCTGGTTTCCAACCTTTCTCTAACCGATATCAGTCAATGATCAAACTTGATAGTACTTCACTCATTCAAATTTCAACTTTAATTTTTTTATAGAATATAATGTCTGTTGTCTCAGCTACCAACATACAATTTCAAAAACTCACCTCCCACTCTGTTTTCTTTAATTTCACGTGATCAAAACAGCGTGTCTACACAGCATCTAAATACGTCTTAGCCTTGAATTTCATTGGTTCTTTGGTGTGTGTGTATATGTGTGTGAATTGTGGCTAGGCGTGTGAGTTCACACGTAAAACACAGATGAATGTTGATAAGCATTTTAAGAAATACGCATTTTATTTCATTTATGTGAATATTACTAGTATATTTCACAAAAATTCAGCTTAAAATGTAACTTAACCTGAATTATTGTCAGAAATATTCTTCACCAGGATAGTTAGGATCACATGTAAATATTTCTACAAACTGTTCTTACACATTCTAGCACTGAGTTCTGAGGAACGAACCTTCTCCTTTAAAAGAAAAATTTTCCCTCTACCAGATATATCATATAAACAGATATTGTTTAAATGCGAACAAATGAATTATCAGAAATTGTTTAACCATTTTGTGTGTAAACTGATTATTTTCGAGTCAATTTTCCTTTTCGGATGCAGTTCAATGGATTTTAGTATACCTAACTATAAAATTATTTATATTGACGGTAAGTTTATGTAGTGTGTATTGTGATATAATTGCTCTTTCAAATGGATTAAAGATACCCATTAAAATCTTTAAAATACTGATTAGTGAACAAAGAATATTCTCTTCGATAACTTCTTCATCAGGTTCTACAGTTATATGTCCATAATAATTAAAGAATTGTTGTTATTGTCAACAGTGAATCAATAATATCAATAGATGACTGTTCAAGAGCCTCTGTAAATGATAACACGTTTCAACAAAACTCTTAAATGAATATTGGATTAATTAGGGAAAATAATAGAGAATTTTTGTATATATATGTTTCACAGAAGGTCACGGTGTTAAATAGTTGCTGGACTTACTTTTCGAACTCATAACCTCCTTTTACTTCAGACGAATTTCAATAGCCTCTACTATTTTCAGTTTTTGGTACCCAAAGGCTTTTGGGAATTCATTCGTCATCTGAAAGATGACAGGAGACTAGGTACTCAAATATCGTACTGTTGATGGTTTTTACTACAGCTTTATTTAGTCACAACGGTAGGTATTTCCAAGATCGGAAAACTAACTTTTCAGAGCAATGGCCAATATTCAACTTTCTTTTTTCAGTTGGCTGTGAATAATACAACCAATACTATTTATTGAAGTGAATAAGACTGGTGAAGGTAGATGAAAAGTATATTAGGACAAAATACAAAAAACACAATGGAGTCTTGTATTAATTTGTTTATTGTGCATCTATTACACACAGTGATACAGTATTATTTACTAAGTGATGACATTTCAAACACAATTTATTGTCCCTAATCACATCATCTATTGCAACTATTACATAACTCCAAAAATCAAATTTTATAGTCCTCTATTTTTAAAAGACAAAATCTAGATTACTTGATCCTATTAAGATAAGAGATCTAGAAAGAAAACTTACCTATAGTATAACATGCAGCTAAAAACACAACCATGCAATGAGACTGGAGCAAGGTGACAGTTTTCAAATCCAACATAACACAGTAGTGGGAGAGATTGACAACTGAGGATTTATTTATCGTATTAACAGAGAATACATGGAATAGGAATGACTTGACACCTGTCCACTCGAACATTTAGAAAATTCTTCTAGATACTATCCCTACGACAATTGGGAAGGGAAAAGGGGAATTATAAAATTCGAGACTCGAGGTTATCTAGCTGCAACTAAATATGCGATTATGAACAATAAAATGTATTTAAAATATTATCCAGTAAATAATAATACTGTTTCACTGTTTCTGTGAGTCGGCAGTTCAGTGGTAGAGTGCTCACCATCCACGGACATGGTTCAGGTTCAACTGCCCACAGACTCACTCCTAAATATCTCCTGGCTGGTAGGAAGCCCAGAAAAGAGGGAAGCGTGGGGCTAGCTACCCCACTCCCAACTAACAAGACCACTGATAGTGAAACTTCAAAACTCACCTTGAAGTCCTATTTTCCATTCAGGAAGCGAAGAAATGAAAAAAAGCTGAGTAGTGTATAAAATGAAGAAATAAACATGTAATTGCATTCTACCACAGTGTCCAAGTTATATATATATATATATATATATATATATATATATATATATATATAAATTTAAACATTGAGGAGATGGTAAAACCTGCACATTAATTTCACAGTTTAAAAATAGTGTTAATGATAATAATATCATTCTTATCTGTTTCTAATTCGAATCAGTATTGTTACCTTCTCGTGTTTTGTCTTCCTTGACTTTTCCAGTGCAACAAATTATCACAGCTTCTCCGTAGGTGTTACTTAAGATACTACTTATGTCTACTTATAAATGACATACACGACACTAAATAATTCTATTCATTTATATTCACTTGATTTCACATTTAGTGTACACAAGTTTCTCTCTGCACTAGACAGTTGTTTCTACTAAAATTTAGAGTTCAAATTATTCTTAGTATAACTTGGTCTACTTTAGTATTGTGTTCAGATAAACGAAATGGAAACTAATATAAATGAAAATTAGAAACAAAACGCCGAAGCTCTTCCATTAACTTTCTTGAAAGTATCATATTCAATTTTGTCTACAAATCTGAGATAATTTAGGTAAGATGACAAAATAACATAAGTTAGAGAACCAATGAAAATTAAAGGTATTGGATAGTTGTTTCATCCCATTCCTAGGATCGGACGCATGACCTTAAAGTTATCAGGCCAATCAATTGGTAGATTTCCATGAATTCTAACTTCCGCCAATTGAAGATATTTACAGCTTCTATCAGCCAGTGTTATTGGTAAACGTCTGTTTTCACAATGGACTTCACTGACTCCAATGCTCCAAATCTAGGATGAAACAGGTGCCCTGTACTTCCTGGTTTTCAGTGGTTCTCTCACTGATGTCAGCACGTGATTAAACTTGAGACCGATTAAGTTCGTAGAAACCAATAAATGAAAGCACCTTATCAAATCGAATAAGTTGTTAAATAATTCGCAGATAATGAACTAGTAAGACTTGATATGAATTTATTTATTTTCCTTGGTTTCTCGCAATGTTACTAGAGGTGTTAGTGGTTCCCTGTTCTACTTTTTTAAGAGCTTCAATAGAAACATCCTTGAATTCACAGATAGTCTGATAACTATATCGAAATCGGCATCATTTAGCCCTTAGTTATAAATAAATGTCACGATGATCAGTTTTCAGTGTTAATAGAGTTACTTCTCTCAACTTTTTAGTATGATCATTGTACTTAATGACAAGACACTGAATTATAAATCAAATAGTCCACCTATTTACACAAGAAATAAGTTGTCTCTGGAAAACACCTGAAATAACGATTTTCACTAGAAGATTGATTTATACGACGTTTTATATCTAAAATCTATGAATGTGTATGCATGTATGCGTATGTACTTCTTTGTGACAGTTTCCATATATCCTAAAAAGGTGGTCTAGAGCTTCATTTTGGCTACCTTCAGTTTCCAGGTACTGAGTGTAGATGGATCTTTAAGTTACATTCAATGTATCGTAAGGTTAGAGCCCACTCCATTTATTCCCTTTCTGTTTCTTACATTTTGAAATGAATCTTCCGATAATACGTCCTATTCATAGCCGGACATGTTGATGTGCAGATGGCCAACAAAAGGCATTTTTATTATCATTGCATTCAATATGTAGCATATCATCTATTTAGTCCTTATCGTTGATTACATCCTAGTGACTATTCGGTGCAAACGTATTTTAAATTATCTCGCAAACAATATTTTAAACGAATTCTAGGCTGGGGAAGTAGTCAGCAGAAGAGTGTTATCTCTTTTCTCATCCTGCGACTGAAACCAGAAACTTCAGGTTAAGAAATGACTCTTTTAACTGTTCAGCCACTGAGTTTAGATTCAATGACTCATGAATCTCGACTTCTGTAAATGTGCAATATACGGCATCGCCACCAACCAATGGAATTCCCAGAGTACAAGTGCAAAATTCATAACCTGTAGGTTCTACCAAGTCGGATGTATGGACAGGTACTCGCCAATAAATTCAGCGTTATCAGATCAATTAATCTATCTAAAAGCCAACACTTGATACCTTTTATGTTGTTAAGATATTGACTATGATAACCTGTGTCTTTTATGAGAAATGCTTGAGTAGTTTTTTTACGCACCGACAAAAATATCTTTCATATACGATCCATAAAAAGCGTTTTTTGTAAGGAAACGAAGACCTATTTTATTTTCACTTCCAAACACGAATCCTAAAATGATGACTTTGGGTTGCCTTAAAATATGAGATCAGGATATTTACATGCTTTGTGAAGTTCTCATGAAATGGAATTAAAATCTTTGGTTACATATATTAGTGATCCCTAAATGAGACAATTTCGTATTTGTTAGGTTGTAAGCACTATTCGACCTTTTTATATAGTTTGTTTTTGACAACTTCATATTTAAGGAATCTAAACCACAAGCGACGAATAGTAGGCTGTACAAATAACACACAATATCTTGCATAAAGATATCAACGCTGCAGGAAATATACTGCGATAAGAAACATCACTCCTAAATGAAGAGAATTGATCATAAAGCTGACTTTTGTCATCTAAAACAATATTACCGACATCAAATACCATTCTTCTGAATGGTTTGGAGATATAATTTAAAAGTTCTTAACCTATTTCATCTACTCTACTACTGTACTGGCGGTTAACGAATAGACTAACCTTGAGCCATGTACGTGATCCTGGTTCTATTTCCTTTTGACGCACTCCTATACCTTGATTAGCAGGTATTAAGTCCAGAAAAGAGGGAAGGTGGAGCATGAGACTTGCAACCCTATGCCGTAAAAACAACAACACGGCTACTGGAACTTCAGACCTTAAAGCTTGAAGCCCTATATTCCACTCAGAAAATAAAGGAATGAAAAAAGTAAGTTTCATTACTCAGCATTCAAACTGATATATGCCAAGGGGAGTAAATCACCTGAGAATAACTAGATTCGCGTTAAATAAGCCGGACATCTAGTATATCACACTAATGAAGGCGCTGACTGAGAGCTGCTAATGAGAGCTTAGCATCACTATGTGATTAAAACAACTGGTAGTTATTTCTCACTAATAAACACACTTTTTAGAGTAGAATTCATATACTAAACTGACACACTTAAGTGGCTTTAAAACGATGCTTTTATATTCAAGCATTAAATATGATTAATTCCTATGACTCTATGTAACACTGTGCATTCAAGGATTAGAAAAGATCATAACGGACAACATTTGTACAGAGAATGAGTATACAGAAGCACAAAAAAAGGAAAGGAATTGTTCATCTGAAAGTACTAGTTTATGCTATTTCAGTAAAATAACCAGCATAGCATAGATTCCAAGGATTTCAATAACTGAAGTGATCTCAAAATTCATCGTAGACCATTACACAGATGCCCAGCAGTTAAAGTCGCAATCATTCGCAAAGCACAGATAAATATAGGAAAATATATACAATGGGATCACAATAAATGAGAATGCACAGGAGAAAAAGTAA